TGTGTGTGTGTGTGTGTGTGTGTGTGTGTGTGTTTGAGCTACTGACTCGATATATATATATATAGCTGAGGAAAACGAATATGCTAAATATTTGCTAACAGAAAAACAAAACTCTTAAGTGAACTCTTAAGCAGATTTATGAGTTTGGGTGTGTTTTAGGGCTGGGTGATATTGCTAAACAATTATAGCTTGGTATTTTAAAATTTTTTGGGGCATTTCGTATATCTTGGTATTTACGCATTTGCTTATAAATGGCTTAAAATGGTGATTCTATTCAATTATATCAGTCCACCACATACTCACTTAAGATGATTCAAAATGTTTAATGTAAGAATTAAAACAGTGACGTTTTGTTAAATGAACAAAAGGACCAATAACAATAGGAATAAAAAAGACAAAGTAAAAAAAAAAAGAAACAATATTTACCTACGTTTTTACTAAAATAATGCTAATATAGTATTATTTTAGTAAATATTTTTTATATTAATGTCATATTTTTACTATAATATATATATATAGAAACGCAGTAACATAAAAAACATGTACAGAAGGATATGAAATTTTAGAAAGTTCTGAAGAAGGACGCCACATCAACAACATGGAGCAAACAAACACATAGTTCTGACCAAGTGCAGAAATAAAGAGAAAAAACAGGAATAGAGGTACAAACCCATTTCTTCTCTCGCTCTCTCTCTCTCGCGCTCTCTCGCTCTCTCAAGTTCAAGGTGCTTTATTGGCATGACATTTGTGTTACAGTATTGCCAAAGCATTTTAGATGTGTACAATACAGAATATGATTACACCATCAAAGTAAAATGACAAAAAATGAGTAATAAATAAGAGAAAAATGAATACAATAAAATAAAAATAGCAACAGCAGATAGTATTTCTAATATTAATAATTAGAGTATATAACGTAGTTTCACTGAGTCATCCAGAGAAGAACATGAACAATTCAATACTTCAAATTGTGGAAAGAATATTTGTCTTGTAGTGGTGTATTTGGGGCAGACAAGAAGAAAGTGTTTCTCATCCTCTGTTTGATTTAAGTCACAGTGCTTGCATAGTCGCTGTTCTCTCGGTATCCAGGATTTTTTATATCTTCCTTTCTCTATTTCTAAGTCGTGGTCGCTGAGTCGATATTTTGAAAGGATTTGTCTTTCTTTTAATTGTTTGATTGACAAGTAATTTGCCAATTTGGTGGTTCTATTTAGGGCCGAATAACACTGCAGTTTGGTTTGGAGGTCAAATTCGTTTTCATCATAATTATACTTCAGATTTTTGTAGGGATGCACCGAATATTCGGCCACCGAAAATTTTCGCCCAAAAGTGCATTTTCGGTTTTCGGCCGAAAGACTTTTATCACCGAAACAATACGGCCGAAATGTTGTGATGACGCAAACAGAAACCGCGACCTGCACGTGCTTGTCTGAAGCAACATGTCTGCGGTGTGGCCTTAGAATGTTTTTTGCAAATTCCAATTGTGTTCTTTCTATTAAACTTTTATCCCAGTTTTCAAACTTTAATACTGGTCCCCAAATTTCACTCCTGTATAGTAGAATTGGTTTAATGATTGCGTGATCTAATTTGATCCATGTTTTAATTGGTCATTTTAATTGGCCAAACCATGATTTTATGGCATAAAAAGCCCTCCGGGCCCTCTCATCACAGCCAGACTGAAGCCCCCTGATGCTGAGATCTCGATGCCCAGGTAAGTGTAGCTGCTGCTGTGCTCTAGGACTTCTCCTCTGTAACTGAACTGGTATCTGCTTCTCTGAGACCTGGCCTTCTTCTGGAACACCATGACCCTGGTTTTGTCCAGGTTGACCGTCAGTGCCCATTCCTCACAGTACTGTTCCAGCAGGGCCAGGCTGTGCTGGAGACCCTCGGCCGTGGGGGACATCAGAACCAGGTCGTCTGCATACAGCAGGCATTTGACTTCAGAGTCGTGCAGAGCGAGGCCCGGGATGCTGCCGGAGCGGTCCAGAGCTTCTGCCAGCTCGTTGATGTAGATGTTAAACAGTGTTGGGCTCAGACTGCATCCCTGCCTCACTCCACGACCCTGCTGGAAGAACACTGTTCTGAGATTCCCCAGTTTGACCGCACGTCTACTGTTCCTGTACATGGATTGTATAATATCGAATGTTTTTCCACCAATGCCAATTTGTAATAATTTGTATAGTAAACCTTCATGCCAAATAGAGTAGAAAGCTTTTTTTTAAATCAATAAAACATGTAAATATTTTTCTTTGCTTGCCCTTTAGATTTTTGTTGATTAGAGTGTGGAGAGAATAGATGTGGTCGGATGTACGTTGTTTTGGTAAAAAGCCAATTTGTGATTTATTTAGGATGTTGTGTCTTGTGAGGAATGTCACTATGCGGCTGTTTATTATATTGCAGAAAAGCTTTGCTTGGTTACTGCCCACACTAATGCCGCAGTAATTACTGGGATCGAATTTATCTCCTTTTTTATATATAGGTGTGATCAGTCCTTCAGACCAGGTCTCAGGGAAGATCAGATTGAATAATTTTGCCAGAGCTTGAATTATTTAAGGGCTGCTGATTTTGAGCATTTCATTGCTGATGTTGTCTTGTCCACATACCTTCTTTAATTTAAGATTTTTAATGTGCTCTGTTATTTCTGATGTTGTTATAATCATGTCCAGTGGGTTTTGGTCTTTTTTGTTTGTTTATTCTATGTTTGTTTTGTTGTTTAATGTTAGATTGCTGAGTTTATTCCATTAGTATTTGGAGTGAAATCTGTGGACATAAAGTTGTCTAGCATTTTTAGTATTGCAGAGCTGCTCATGTTTTCTTTGAATTTTTCAGCATTAGCTCTCGCTCTCTCTGTGTGTCTCTCTCTCTCTCTCTCTCTCTGTCTCTCTCTCTGTCTC